TATATAATATAATATTTTTTTTTTGCTGGTTGATTGTTCTCATATCTTGTTGGAGACAATTAATTAAGTCTATATACTCTGTATCTCTATCTCGAATGATGATATGAGAATATTTTCTATCAGAAAATTGTTAGGATCACATTTTGTATCTCTTTTTATTATTTTTAGCATTTATTATTTAACACATATATTGTATTAATATAATTTATTATTATTTAAATAAAAAAAATAATAGTCAATAAATAAAATAAAAAATGACAGAAAAAGTGTTACAAACCTTTCTCCTTCTACTGTATATCTTTGGTCTTGACCTTTTTTTTATGCAACTTTAAGATCAATCATTTTTGTCCTTATTCGTGTCTTACGTGCAATTTTTTGACCCGTACAGCTCAACACCCAATTACATTCCTAGATAGATACGGCCATGTGAAAAATGACTTCTACTATATTGGAACAGTATACATTATGCACAAGTTCTCCAAACTCACATTATAATAAATCTTTCCAATGCCTCGCTTGAGTAAGAGTTTATTTTCCTGTTCAAACTCTTTTTTTTTAACAAAACGGACACCCTTATTGTAAAGAACAACACCTGTGGCAAAGGGAGGAAATGTGAAAAGGTGGCAGAGATCAATTCTATTCGACGGCCAATATAGATCAATTTTATTCAAATAAGGTAGAAAACAAAAGAGGGAGAGAAATTACTTCATCATGCACGAGTTTAACTATTAAAATAATACGAAACGGAAACTAAATAGTACTTCTTCTTCTAATTAGTCCTGGGAGCCAAAAGAACCTGCTCAATCATCTTATCCAGATTCAATTGAGACGAAGCAATGGAATCCTCGGTCGATTTCTTCCACTCCATTGCTCTCTTCTTCATCTCCTTACCCTTCTCTCCGTCCATCAACTTCCTCACAAGTCTTTCAATGTTTCCCCGTTCCACATTCTCTATCTCCATCCCAATCCCCCACGCTCTGCAGCAATACCTACAGTTGGTCTGCTGCTCCGCGAAGAACGGCCAGCAGATCACCGGCACGCCGCAGCTGATGCTCTCGATCGTCGAGTTCCAACCGCAGTGCGTCAAGAACCCTCCGATCGCCGGATGCCCCAGGACCTGCTCCTGAGGGCACCAGCTGGGCATTAGTCCCCTATCTTTCGTCTCCGAAACAAACTCCGGGGGGACAATCGCCGCATCTCCGACGACTAGGTCAGGCCTAATTATCCACAAGAAAGTTTTTTGGCTGTTTGCAAGCCCCCAAGCGAACTCGACCAGCTGCTCCGACGTCATGACTGTTATACTTCCAAAGTTCACGTAGACAACGGAGCTCGGTTTCTTGGAGTTGAGCCACTCCAAGCAATAGGGATCTTCTTTCCAGAGATTTGATCCAATGGATCTTACGTTTTTGTCTGGAATCTGATTGACAAGTAGGGCCAAGGGTCCAACTGTGTAAACGGGAGGTAATATGGAAGAGAGCGAGTCGAGAACGTCCTTCTCGAGGTCGTCGAAAGTGTTCAAAACGACGGCGGAAGCTTGCTTGGCTCTTTGGCTCTCGACGTCGAGAAAGTTAAGCATGATGTCGTCTGGATCTGTGGTTCTTACGAAGCTAGGAAAGTCCCTCAGACGCATGTCTTTCATGCCCGGTATCGAGTTTATGACAGTGTTCTCTAAGTATCCATTTGTCATATAGCTTGCATCTGCCAGTGCAATAAAACATAGATATTAAATCACACAAGTAACATTAAATAATAATAATAATAAAGCTAAATACTACTGATTCTTTCGTTTGTTACAAATTGTGAGCTATGTAGATCATTAAAGGCAAAAAAGAAAAAAAAAAAAAACAATGACCAAAAGTACTTTTGACAACGACTTATGTGAGTTCCTGTAAATAGTTTTTTTTTTTTTTTTGGTATACTGTAAATATTGTTAGTTCATAACCCGTAGGTCAGTTTCTAATTCTCATTATATCAAAATCAAATGCAGTATAGTAATATTAGATCAAAGACAGAAAGCCAGCTAGCCCTTATAGTGGTGAACCCGAAGCGAGATCGGAGAAGGAAGACCGTGAGTGGTGTTCTTTTCCCAAACCGTCAAAGAAAGGCCTAGTTAAAGGAGAGGTACTTACGGCAGGCTGATCGGAAATAATTTCACTCAATTTATTGAGATTTGACATGAGAGCGCAGGGCCCCACAAGTGTAGCTCATGTTTTGGATCCGGCCAGACTGTAATTAATATCAAGCAGGACTTCACCGAAACGCTCAACATTTTTCTTAAAATTAGGAAAAGCGTCACGTGACAACATGGGAGATATTTTTGTTGTGGGGTAAAATGCCTTACACGAAATAATGACTGAGCATCACTTGATATGATTAAAGGATAAAATAATTAAGACAAAAATATAGAGTGAGGATAGGGCGTATCGATCCTTAGCGGTTTAAGTATTCTTGTTTAAAGAGTCGATTAGAAGGAACAAGAATCATACTGTGAAGATGAACGCTTCATTGGCCACGAATGAAGAGCGTTTCTAAGGAGTCAAAGCGACAAAGGCGACGAGTTTAGGTTGAAGTACAACTGTGCTAAAATTTGACATGCATTAAATGCATGTAGAATAAGTGGTGAGGTCAGTAGAGAAAGTCAGGTAAATTGACTAAAATCTCAGTGATCAAAAATTATTATTTCAGAATAAGGAAAATATATCACAGGATTTGATTATATAGTTAACACTGACAGATATATATAAACAGAAAGAATAGGTTGAAGGGAGGTTGGATTATTAAACACTTTTTCCCCAGAATTTGTATTTTTTCTACCAAAAATAATGAAAAACTCAATGAATGTAGCTCTACATTGGAGTGGATCACCGTAAAATCCGTGTTGTTTTTTGTTTCTTTTCCTCTAATTATTCAAGTTTAGAGTTTAATTAATCCACGTACAAATCACCAAAAACCTATTACTAATTTATTGATAAGTTTTTACCGTCAATAATTTTTATGATCATGTTTGTACTTAAAATAGTAAAGAAACGATGACATAGAAAAATATTTGTGACTTTCAACCCAAAGAAGAAAAAATATTGACAGAAATCATATTCAAAGATTCATAAAAAAAAAAAAACAAAAACAAAAACAAAAACACATTCAAAGATGTCTGTTTAGTACCTTTAAGAGGTGTAACGCCTTTTTCAATGAGCTGCCGGTAATTAAGGTAGGCTAAGAACCCACAGGCGCTTGTGGTCCAAAGCACAACTTCCGGCACACCGAGTTCTCGGGCCGCCTCGAGAGTGAAGGTCATGGCGCCGTCGGAGACAATGGAAGAAACCGGAGGAATATCCGGCGAAGAATTCAGCTTCGAAAGGAGTTGTCTGAATGGCGCCAAGCAGTTTTTGCTGGTGGACTCACACAACGACGGTATGTCCTGTGTGGCGTCGGCGTCGGACTCGGGAAGCCCGTCGGGAATGGACTCGAACCTGAACGAAGGAAGCCCATCGAGAGAGTTGGGCCCGCGAGATCTGAGGAGACGTTTATAGTTGAACTCTGTGTAGACGAAGGTGACATAAAAGCCTTTGTGGTGGAGGAGTTTGGCCAGATTTGTCATTGGGTTGACGTGGCCTTGCGCCGGGTATGGAATGCAAACTACGTGAGGCGGATTCGTCTTCACCGTGAGGGAATTACCCATTGATCTGGAATGGAATGGATTTGCTGTTTCGCAAGGAATTGTATTGCTCTTTGGTGGAGTCTGGAGATCTATACACACTTTGTTTTTATAGAGGACGAGATGTTCACGCTTTTCTCTTAGGCTTCCTTCACTTTCATATTCCAGTTTTTAATTCGAGTGGACAGGCTGTGCTTAAAATTACTATCATTTTTATTTTTTATATTTTTTAAGAAAAAAAAATAAAAATATTTTTAAAATGATATTTGGTATAATATAGATAAAAAATAAAAATAAAAATAATTTTTTAATTTAATGTAAAATGAGAAAAAAATAAAAAATTATTTTTTATTATTTTTTATTTTTTATTTTTATTTTCTCTTCTCTCGAGAAAGAAAAAAAATATTAATAGATTACACTGAAAATAATCTCTTGATAAAATTATCAAAAGTATTTTTAAAAATAATTTATGTCTAAAATTAAAAATATTTTCATATTTATTTTCATACAAAAAATAAAATTATTTTAAAACAAATTTTAAACGCACTTAATATTTTTTAAAATTTTTAATTATAATAAAAAAAATTAAATGTGATATTTTTTAAAAAATTTTAATTATAAAAATTAAAAATTAAAAACTCAAAATCATAAAATCAACCATAAGCAGGAAGCTGGAAGCTGGGAGGAGTACTGGAAGAGGATAGCTAATAATTATTACTTCAAATATTAATTTTTTTACAAAGGAACGGGCTGTCAACGAAAAGGAACATATATATTAGTATATTATAGATACGAAACATGTGGTTAATAGTCATACGAGGGAGATTACAATGAGATTTGTGATGCACGGCGAGATCACTAGCTTCACCAAATTCCCATATTTTATTCCTTTCATATCTTGGCACAAAGATATGATCGGACCGTTTATTTTCATTCTCATTTTTATTTTTTACGTTTTTTAAGAAAAAAAATGTGTTTGGGAAGAATTCATACTAAAACTAAAAATAAAAATGTTTTTGAATTTTTTTTAAAAACTCATTTTTTCTGAAAACGGATGAAATCCGTTTTCATTTTCCTTTTCATTTTCTCCCTTCGTTCTTCTTCTTCTCCGACTGCGCCCCCCTCCCAACTATTCTCTGACTGCCCACCCCCTCCCCCAACTCGTCTCTGACTGCCCCCCGCCCCCATTAATATGTTATTAATTTAAATATTATTACATGTTTTTAAAAATTAAACCACCAAATATAATTTCAGTTTTTTTTAAACTGAAAACAATCTCAGAATAAAATAACTAAACGCATTTTCAGAAATGATTTTAAAATGAAAATAAAAATGCTTTCGTTTTTATTTTCATATAAAAAATAAAAACGTTTTAGAACCAATTCTAAACGCACCCGATAAAACTGCCAAAGGAAGATTTATGGAGAAACCCGCATTAGAAAAAAGGGTAGTACACTTATAGCAATACTTCGTTAAAATGAGAATGAATGGTGCTAATTGACTGGCTAAGAAATAGTACTTACTGACTCCAACTTAACAGTTAATGATCTTTTTCTTAAACTCAAAGGTACACTTTTTGTATCAGAGGTTTATTGTTGATCTTAAGCTTCTATTTAATTCATAATTCAGCATCAAATCTGGGATTTTATCTTGTACAAGCTACTAAATCAACCGAATATTCTTTCTTTTTGGCCTTAGATGAGCAAGTGTATTTAATTTATAATTGTATATATTTGTATCGGATTTTAATCCCTACTAAGCGACATGATTGATGTTTTTAGAGTATCAAACAATTTTCTGATTGATTAATATCTCAATTAACATAAATAAAAATGGTATAACATGTTTAATACTTGTGATAATAGAGCAACTCTAACTATATTAGACAAATGTTTTTAACCAAAATGGTTAATGATTTAGCTTTTATTTTTTTATTTTTTTTAGTTTTTTCACACTTTTCTCCACTCCAACTATTAGTTAAATAGTTAGACATTTTGAAGAACACATTTCACATTAGCCAAACTTAGCTAGCATGGAGAGCCTAGCCGTTTAATTTTTTGTATTATTTTAATCTTTCAACTGTAATGAATATAAAGATTTTTTTAAATTAATTCAATAAAATTTATATTATAAAATCAATAAATATTAGAATAATTTATATTTAGCTAAAATAGGAAGTATGGTTTGAGTAAATAACTCAAAATTTACTAGCTAAAATAGTTTTTTAGTCATTTTAGCTAAAATTTAACTAAAATTTAGAGAATTTCCTTGGAGATGCTCTTAATCAACAAGTTGATTGAGTCCTTCCAAATAGAATGCGAAGGGAAAAGTAAAAGAAGAAAATCAGTTCATGACTTCATAAGATTTGTCGCTCTATTTCTGATAATAGGTCAAATCTGCACATAATTTCTTTCAAACGAATTGCATTCATTTCACTTTTCACAAATGAGGCCATTTTCTTTTTTACTTTTGTTAAGTATAAAATCTCTCTCTCTCTCTCTCTCTCAAGTGGTGCAACTAGGTTTTTCAATTTGGAATCCTTTTTAAGGTCAGAGTTTGGCATCACTAATGGAACTTTCGGCCCTTGAGATGGTTGCTAAGGTCATGCGGGTTTGGTTGGCCATAGGTGTGGTCCCAAAGGGACGGAGGTCTAGATCTAGCGAGTTGGAGTTAGTAGCGTTGTTGCTCTAGGTCTTAGCCCCTTGTTAGTATGGTTTGGGAGATGGGTGTTGAGTGTCTTGGGGCTACTGGTGTTGGAGGTAGAGGCATGGAAACTTCCACCGATGCGAGGAGCGGGTGGTTTCAGGCGGATCTCTGGTGTGGAGGTTTCGTTCGGATTGCTTTTGCTTTAGTTTTCATTGATGGCATTTGCAATTCTTCTGCAATGAGTCTACTTAGATCCAAGTTCTTTAGCCTCTATACTGTGATGGCTAGCTTGTTGTCGGCATTTCTTTCGATTTGGTTGAGGTAATTTACATATTGTTTTCTTAATGTTTGGTTACCTTTAATAAAGGTATTATTGTTTTTCCTATGTTTATGTATTAAAAAACGTAGGTGGTTTCCCTACATTTCAATTT